AGGTAAGGTCAGTTCAATTTTACTCGCCCAGAAATTGAGATGAATCGGTCAATTGATGTAACGTATAATGTAGGTGGCGAATGTAAAGCACATGTTTGAAACAGTCATTTTATGTCGCTGTTTGATGCAGGAAGAATTCGTGATGTTTTCTTTGTATGAAAATTACAGCTTATGAGGTATGTATTAATCGTAGGTTAACCTATAAGATTTATTTGCGACGTGCAATTTGTGCGCATATTTGATTCGGCCTTCTATTATAATTGGACGTAATATTATATATTTATGTTTGTCCTAAATTCGACTAATTATCGACGGCAATTATGGGTACTTAAGATTGTATGAGCCATGTTGCATCATTTAACCTTATTCGAAATATAAGAATTTTATATCGTGTTATTTTATATTGCAATACTGTACATTATTATGCAATACTATACAGTGAAGAGTTAATACATTTGTTATTTTCTTTTTTTTAATTGTACACTACTGTATGCACAGGTACTGTGTATGTACCTGTACCTGTATGTATATATACTTTTGGATGCTATTTGTTTAACATTTAATGCCATGCTGAGCAAATATCGTGTGCATACTTGTTATGAAATTTAAGGCTTCGCATGCAACAGACAGTTGGTAAAAGTTAAATTTTAACGGAAGCGTCATTACGTACGTCTCGGATTGACCCATCTCCCGTCGAAGAGTAGAGGGGAACTTGTCTAGAAAAAGCTGAGAAAGGTCGGTGGGGTGGACTTTTCTCCGGTTTGTAAAAGGCGGAAAGTATCGAGCATTAATACGAGGTATCAAGGGAACTTTACTTTTGACCGTCGAATAAACAGGCCCGCGACGCGGAAGGGGACGTGGTAGGGTGTCTCAAAAGAGCATCGAAGTATCAGACGCGTCGGTTCGTCCTCGGTTCCCTTTATTTCCGTAGCGAGGCTTTTCTACTCCCGGCTTGTCCGGTTTTTCCAAGTTCTCCGAGGGTCGGCCGCCAAGTTTATTCAGTCCGCCAAACTTTGTAGTACAGCGTGTCGACCGCCAGAGGGCAGTACGCCGACGGACAAGAGGTGGGAACCGGAACTGAACGGCTGGCACCGGACATAACCATCTCCACCCTTCTTCTCCTTGCACCGTGCTGCTCCTCCACCTCCGACGGTGAGGTCGCTCGCGCGCACACATACACGAGTCGCGCTTTGTCCGGTCTCTCGGACGCAATTAGGGTGGGTCTCGGCCTTCAACCCCCTTGGGGGTGCCCGTTCGCTAAGTAGAAAAGCGTGTATCCACCTCCGACCTCGAAAGGCGGTGGGGTTTGTGTCTGGCTGTAACGGACCACGACCGACCAAGCCAGGACAGACGGATGGACGGATGGACTAGACTGCCAGCAGCTGACTACCACCTCGGCCAACTTACCCCTACCTCCGGTTTGCTCTCCTCTGTCGTCCAGTCCCACTTCCTGGACTTAGCCTCCGCTCTCCTACATCGTTTCCAAGACAAACATTCTCCTAGAGAACTCCATGGATCTACCTACTACTACCACTATTACCACCACCATCGCTACCCTCCTTTCGTTATTTCTTTCTCTTGTTGCCTCGTTTTCGCCTGCTTGTACATACTTTGAATCCCCCGTTTCGTCACGTTCGATCGCCACCGATACCTTTTGCCGAGTGTTTACCGGAACTTCGAGATGCTCGGTTGGCTTGAGAAGTTAAGTATGTTAATCGACCTTTACTCGCATTAGTGGCTACGGGTCATTGGGACGTTTTATTTGACGACAGGGAAATTTGGTTTGTTTACTAGTTCTAACCCAATAATCTCCTAATATTTTCTAACGAGATAATTATGACGCTTGACTCCGTCATACGTCAAAGTATTTGCTTCGACGCAAATTTTTAACAATGCCGAAAAAAAGCTACATATTTTTCCAGGCTTTGTATCAGCCTCTGTAAAGAAAATTTTTTCGTTCCAGAGATAACGCGAATAATTCAAAGGCAATTCGTGGAAAATATTTGAATATAGGATGCTAGACACCGTCGAAGGAGGTTCTAACACGGGCACGAGCTCGTAGTCAAATTGAATGTGTAATGGAGGTAACTCTCGCTCGTCATTTCCCCTCGCCAACCTAACGGCATAGAAACTGCAAGCGCCTTGTAATATTACGGAATACCTACATACCATTACACGTTCTGGGTTATATAAAGTGCCAAGCTGCAGGGGCCAACGATGCTCTCCTTCCCTTTCGCGTGTAACACGTTTACCAGGATATAAAAGAACGAAATTCAAGTGATAATGAATATGATCCACCGTAATTATTTCTTATTCGTAATTACTGGCGAGTAAACCCGGGAAACACGAGGAACTAATGAACGGACAAGCTAGAAGTTGCATAAAGGCATCGTTGAAAACCTGGCTTTACATAGACTTGATACCGTGTTACCTCATCGCTAGAGATAATACGCGTTCCCTTTTTGCCAAGTATTTGCATTCATCATTCTCGTTTACATTCTCATTTCTATGCCAAATTCGCATACATTATAGTAAAATTTTTCTTATGCAAATACGATGGCGATACAGCACCTGGCCATAAATTGACGATGCAATTCGACTAACAGAAGAGTTAAACTTTAAACAAAATAAAATAAGAATTAAGAATTTTAAACAAAATTCTGAGGCAATTCAATTCCTATAAAGCATAGAATATAGCTCTGCATTTGTATTCAATAAACGTGGAACGTATTATCACCGTGCACCCTAAACGAATAACAGAAGTAACTCTCGCTAATCATTTCCCTCGTCGAATAAGCGGGCAGATAAACTGCTAGGGTACTCTAATATTACGCGAGTACGTACATACTATTACACATCCTGCAAGGCAATGGCCAGGCACCGACGATACGCTCGGTTGGTAGGATATCCTTTGAAACACCCCACAAGGGGCTCGTTTGTCTAACCAGACCCACCCCCTTCTCCGCGATGGTAGCGTATCCACGAGCACGTGGTTGTGCCCACTTCGTCATCGGGCTCGGAAGCCGCGTATGGAAGAGAGGGGTTGGTAGTCGGTGTTACGAGGCCGCAAGCCACCCCTACGAGTTACCAAACGGTGGTGGTAACGCTATCTTCTCGGTGGCCCATTCCGCCTCTAAATTGTGAGTAATGCTGATTATGTAAAAAGACTTTACGAGACGTTATTACCGTCGTTGCGATTACGATGTTATACGAGTCGCCGGGCGCGCACAACCCCGTGGCGCTCGTAACTTCAACCCCATGTATCTGCACCTCTTCCTGGCTACCTTTTCGCTCGATGCTCGCTCTAACGTGTTTCAATTTTAGATTCCCGCGTTTGTCTTATAGTTACCAAACAATTAGACACTGCGGTGGTATCCGTTCTACGATACCCGAAACTACTCGTACACTCGATCACTGTCGGGGACACATGTTGCACCCTATGAATCGCTGAATTCGATGCGAGTTTATTACCCTGTACGGAGTACATACGGATAATTTTCTTGGGGTGACTAATATCATACTGAATCTAGTTAAGCATCTTGATTAAAGTGGTTTCTCTTTTGACGATTTATTTCTCTTTCGATCCACGTATCACCCCAACATTCTTATACTACATAGTATCATCGCAACAGTCTTATACGCTTTTCCGACCTCGCCGACCTGCCCGTTCCCTGCCCACTCGCGACGCTGCGTGCACTTGTCCGCTCTTAATCCGGTCGCATTTTCTTGGCAGTTAATAAGAAACGATGGCAGCGTGAATCGCAGCAAAGGGCTTGAACAACCGGCACGGCAATCACGGTTCTGCGCGCGATAGATAGCGTCCGGACGAAAATGTCCAATTACACGCAACCTTACCACCTACCGCGTCGATCGCCACCGGTGAAGTTTCGTTATCGATCCCCGGCGACATAGTCGCGCGTTAATGAGGAAATCCGTGTGCGCGCGCGGCGATCGTGGGAGTATAAAGTGTCGCCGATGGTTCGACGCGTTTCTACCGGTGAAACAGAAGAGAAGAAGAGGCGCGGCGCAGAGAGAGGAGAGAGAACGAGGTGGAAAGAGAATCGAGGCGGAGGTCGAATCGGTCCCGGAGGGGAAGACCCGGTGGTAGTTCTCTCTCGGTACGGCACTGGGTGTAGCTGTGGACGATGATGCGCCAACGAGATAGGGTAGATTGCAGGCCTGCCCCGCGTCCTGTTGGTATCCGTGCGCCTGGCCAGAGCTGATACGGTCAGCCCTAGGATAAAGTAGATATTAACACGAGATGATCCGTTAATGAAGCGTATGTTCTACGCCGCGCACACGCCTAGTTCTCTCTCCACGTTCGCTCTTCCGTTCTTCTCGCGCTCTCCATTTCGCGACCCACCTCTCTCCTACCCTCTTTCCGCGGCTCTTTCTCTACCTTGCTTCTCTCCACCCTTTTCCCTTCGCCGCCTCTATGTTTAACTCATCGACGAGTACCTACCCACCTATTACCAACAGCCTTTCCTGTTATCTTATCCGAACACCGGCAACCCGGCCGCGAATTATTATTAACCCGCGACCACCCTGTCCCTCGGTCACCTCGTCAACGTTTTCGTTCCTATGCTACATACTTCTGCCTCGTGTTCCCGCCGGAAATGCGGGCAAGCTCCACGCTAAGCTGCTATGGCGGACACGTCGCGATCATACAGGATTGCGAGGAACTTTGCGAGCCGGGCTGGACGTAATTTGAATCGAGCCATGGGATTGCGCCAACTTCTTACGAGGCATGCAGAAAATCGTCACAGAAAACTGCTGATTAAGCTTCGGTCCTACAGAAATGTAAAAAGTATAATTGTTGTGTATAATACATTAATTCGTACCAGTATGCTTTCTAAGATCTTTGTAACATGAAATGCACAGGTGCTTCCATATAAGGTCAATAACCTCCACTCTCTAATTCTCGCAGTGCATCTAAACTTTAGCTTCTTCTTATCACGTTTCTATCTAATTTTTATCCAAAGTATCAGCTGCTTCCCGTATCGTCTGAATTTCATCGGGAATGTGGTATTTCCTATACCGATTGACCTGTTCCACTAATATCTCGCAACCTTGTTACTTTAATAGACTATTAATACAAGTCGTTGCTTTACAGGCACGACTGGTTTCAACACGATCTTGGATGCCGCTCAACCGTCACCTGCCAACTATTCTAAAGGTAAGACTGTTCTCTCTGTGTGTATATCTGTACCTCGTGTGTCCGACATCGTAACGAAACGAGAACTCGGTAAACGATCATGGCAAAAATGTCATCCGGTGGCTGTACCAGAAGCTAGTTGAAGCTATTAATAAACAGTCTGTCAGAAAGGATCAAAACGAGAGGCTAACGAGCCTGCCGGTAATAAAGACTCTTTGCGCGGGCGAGTACATACATTGCGAGCTGATTAGAAAGACGCTCGCGAAATCTCACGAACACGCGTACCTACACGGCTGTGGAACGTTGAATGATAAATCGAGAGAGTGTCTTTTACGAAACGTCCTCAGGCCGTATTTGTCAGCGGTAGTTCGCGATTTGGCACCGGCTCGTACGCCGATTTTATTTTAAACGGTAATTTGTCTATTCGATGTACGATCGAAATACTTGCAGTAACAGCGCTCGTACCGGTGATCTTAACTTTTTAATTACCCGTATAATAATTTTACGAGTTATGTTACGATATCGAATATAAAAGGTGGCTAGGTTCTCCAAATGATGGTAGACCCTTTGTATCTTCACCTGTAATCTACGTTGCACTCGAAATTAAAAAGAGAAACTTGTAATTTACCTTCGACACGCATAATTTTGTTAAGTGGTAATTTGCCAAACATTGTTGCACGTGAATTGAATTTTATGTACCCTGATACCTTTTCATGATCTTATCGTTTGAGTAAAAATTGAATATGGTTGTTAAACATTATCGGTCATTTTTCTCTGTGGCTTTCTACCGTCCTCGATCTTATACGCGATCGTTTAATTCGACTCGGCTCGTTCGCTCTTATCGGTCGGTATCATCGTTGGTTCGGGCCGACGAATTCATAAACGACCGGGTACAATAAATGGTTTTTGTCCGAGTATCGGGTCTCGGGTCATTCGGATATTCGCGTGTAAGCTGATAACGACCTACATAAACGAGTCATCGAACACTGGACTCGTTCACACTGCTGTCCTCGGCTGCTGTTGACCACCCACGACATCGATCATTCAACCGTTCTCGAGCTATCCGCGTTCGAAACGAGTTGAATGGAGATTTCGAAACTCATTGAGCAAATATAGAGCAAATGGAGCCCGTGTACGTCCATCGATTTACCTCCGATACAGCCAGATAGCCAACGAACGATACAAATATCCGAGCAATTCGATTGCCTCGATGCCAAATATAAAATGATCCCTTTTCGAGTCCAGCCTGTGCGGACACGCTGCTCGTTTCGTACTCTGATTTTGTATGAACAAATTTTTTTCTATACATTCTGAAATATCCAAATCTAGATCTTTCGATTAAATTTATTTATCTGTTTCAGCGTCTTGCATAATCTGCCGGCTCTCTACAGAAAGGAAAAGCGTCCCAAATTTCTGCTAGCATCTCCATCGACTGCTCATCGCTCATAGAGATATCGGTAAATCTATACAAGTGTTAGCAGAGCATTTAAAAAGAAATTATATCGCGAGTTAAGAGAGATCGAGAAACAGTAGGATGGTCGATTCGATCGATCAGCGGTAAAACTTGGTTTCTCTGGAAGTAAAAAGGTGAGAGAACGGCCACGAGCCGGTTGAAAGTTTTCAGGCGCGATATCAAAGCGGGCATCTCGAACGGCGCCAAGGCCATAGTTAACGAGGTCCTCGTCTGGCCATTCAGCAGCAGGGTTCCCTTGTCGTCGTCGTCGTCGTCGTGGATTCGGTATGTACCTGTGCTCTTACCTGAGGCTCGTTCATTGCATCTTCTGGACCTGGCCAGAAACGACGTACACTGTAAAACCGGCGGGTCTCGTTCGAACAAAACCGCCCACTCGACGACCACCGTGCTACGCTTTCTCGTTCGTTCTCGTTCGACCACGCTCGAGACGTGTAACACGCTCGACGAAAAAATGAACAGGCCTCGTTTCGTGTCGCGCAAATGTTCTTGGCCGTTCAAGCACCTCGACGACACCGTCGTCGAACCTTCGCTTCTTCATCGACCTTTGAAAAATTTTGTCAGCGGACCAGATCCGTGAACACCGATTTAATTAGTCCAGTCTCGTTATGGTCGAAAGCCTTGAAATATGATACGATTTGAAAGTTAAGAAAAGAGAGTGAAAATCAAGAATGATCAGATTTCGAGGGAACAACGTTGAGTGTACGAAATAGAGACGTACTCGATAATTATGTGATTATCGAATGAACGTTCCGTTGGAAACTGAGAACAGAAAGAATCGTTGCTTGGAAAGGAAAGAGTTAGGGAGTACATCGAAAAGAAAGAGTAGAGGCAGAGAGGGAGAGCGAGTAGTCGAGTCAGTAAACCCACCATTCAAGCGAGGACACGGGCCCTTGGAGTACCTGGAAACGGTGCTAATGATATGCCCGGGCCCAAGCTGGTGAATGGAACCTTTCGGGAATTCTTGGACGGTTTCGTAGAATTAGGAATTCCGAGGACGGGTCCTCGCTCACGCCGTTTCTCTCCCCCTGTCCTCCGACTCGCCCTTTCTTTTCTGCTTCCCGCGTCTCGCGGATCAGAGCTGACTCCATAAAGATGTGGTTTGCAGCGGCAAAGAGGCGGGTGGAACGCTTTGTGGGAAACGCTTCCCCCTACCTTCTATCGCGTTTATCGTCTTCTTTCTATCCTATAATCTCTTCGGTCTGTCCCTCTCTCTCGTCGTTCCATTCGAATCGTTCTTTCTCGGCGACGCCACCGCTCCAGGCTGAGATTTATAAGCGCGAACGAGCCTTTCAGGGACGAACCACCGGCTCATCCTCGAATGGGAACAATTTAGAGAATAAGGACGCGTCAGCGCGGAAGCCACGAGGGAGGCGAAAAGAGGAGTCATCGTCGAACCGTCGCAAAAATTGCTCGCCGCGATTGTGTTTGCCCCCTTCGGTGACGAGATGCCCGAGTTTTATGAGATCCGGACTCCTTCCAAGAGACTTCTTTGTAACGACACGCATCTCGCGGATGAAAACCGCGCGAGCGGAACCTTTATCCCTCTTATTCCGTTCAATAAACCTTCCTATATTTCCCGTACCGCGTAATCCACGGATTTTAACCGATTTTGTTTTATTAATTTTCACGAGTTAAGGACATCTTTTGCACCGTAGCTTATCTTCGGACTGTGGCGCCCTAAACGGCGAGAACACGTCGTGAACAGAGACTCTTTAATTCGTTTCTTCGAATTTCTTGGTTCGTTTTTCGATGGTGGCTGGCGAAGTAGAAAACAGGTTTACCGGATGCTTCTTGATTCCCCGTGTGCGTCAATTGTTTTATAGCCTGTTCCCTCTTTCCACATCCCTCTGACCGTGTCTCTTCGTCCAACCATCCGCGACACTCTCGATTTCTTCGCTTTTTACACCCGTTGTTGGCTGCTACCGCCGTCGAGGTGGCGCCACGTTGTACCGTCGTTAGTCGATTTCTCCTTTCTTCCCCCTCGAAACAAAATAAAAACTCTTCCCCCGCTTCGGGTGTATTATTTTACGTACCTCTGTTCGACCGCTTTTGCGGTGGACCGATCGAAAGGATCCAATCGAGAACGAAGAATTTGGACCTTTGAAGGCGATCATGATAGATTTAGGAGCTAAAGTACTTTTTTGTAATTCGGACCTTCGGTTACGTTAATTCTTTTTGGAGAATAGTGCAGAATAACTTTTTGCGTCGGTAAACCTCGAGTCCCTAATTTTTAATTACAACGAATCTAACCATCTCGATTTATCTAACGTTATCTCCTCGGTGTTCGTTAAAGGAAAGGCAGCACGCGCAAAGTATCTCGGCTTCTGCCTACCGTTTTTCTCTTATCTGCTGGTGTAGCGCAAGAAACCGCGAACAATTTCCTCGAAGCGGTCTCACGATTACGCGTAATCGTTCTTGAAATCTATCGCGCGCGCAGAGCACGTGCTCGGAGTATGACGTTCCTCGGGCTTCCCGGAACGGAAGTGCCACGGTAAACGTGCCGACTGGTTTCGTAGTTGGTTCGGCCAAATCGCAGACACGCTTCGGAGAAAGGGGAAAAAGAGCATTCGAATCGGCGACGAAGGGTAGCGGCAGCGCAAGAGGGTAGAAGAGAGTCGCGGACTTTTCGCCGCTTCTTTCGTTTCCTTTCTTCGGCTAACGAACCTATAAATATGCATCACTTTGAACTGCCGTGTGACTCGCGCGCACGCGATTGAATAACCGGAAAGGCCCCCGTAGACTTCGCGAGAGTCCTACTTGTACGCGCGGAGCGATGTCCCGATAATTATAGAGGCATACGAGACGATAATGAGCACGCTTGTTTCTCGGGTATAAATTCAGGGTCCACGTGTCGTCGCGGAGTGATCTCACCGCGGATTTTCCACCGTGCCAAACCGAAAGACGAACGAGCTAGCGAGATGTTACTCTCGAGGGTCTTTCGGTTTTAGAACCGCCTGAAACTTCGGAGGTCAGTGCTTTGTGGAATAATATCTCGAGTTGCGTAGCGTTGTCGTTGAACGCGGTGTGCGTGACCGGTGACTGCCGGCACGAGGTTCTTAACCGTTGAGAAAAATTTTCTTCGGTTCGATACAGGGAAGCTTCTCACAGCGTCGGAACAACATTTCATTTCCTGTTTTATTTCAGACACTCGATGCTGGTCCCAAGGAATTGAACTCGCGTGTTCTAATTGAAAGGAAATATAATCACTGATCCGACGTTCTCATTAGTAAACTCGTTCTCCCGTAAAGTAGCGGTTTCCATTCTTCGACCACCCCTTTCTCACGTATCCTTCAACAAATTACTTCGTCTCTTAATATTATCTATCAATTCAGTCTTATGTAAACACATAATAAAGCTCGTTCACCGGTACTCCAATTAAATTTCCTCAGCAAGATATCTTCTTCTATTATCGTTCTTTTCTGGTAAACATAATTGCGAACGAAGACGAGGGAAAGTTTAAAGGGTGTCGATTTTGACACGGTTGCAAATTTCTTCTGGAGGAATAAAAGAGACACGAGGCAATCTTCTTTTCCGTTATCGTGGTGGTTCGTGTTTACCTCCCTCGTTCTTCGCTCGTTGGCGCCGAATGAAAAGGAAGGGCAGTCCGTTTTATTTTATCAGACCGATGGGAACAGCGTGAGAATTCGTTTACCTTTTTCCCATTAAGGAACGACGATGGTGTCGGCCGTTGGGGTCGGGCTTTGCGGAACCGGGCTTGCCGTGTCATCAACGTTTTATTTCCACCTTCTTCCGCCATCGCTCCGGGAACCAACGCAAAAGTTTAATTAATTTCGAGCCACCGGCATTAAGTGGCGCGGTATCGGGTAGCCTCCTCGCGAACCCCTCGTCTCGTGATCGCTACTCTCAAACTTTCTTTCTTTCTTTCTTTCTTTCCTCCTTTCTTGTTTCCTCTCGCGTTGAAAACGATCTGACCTCGTATACCGTGGCTTGCTCGATTAAAAATTAGCCAGTTCGCCGACCGTGCGACTGTGATAAACTCGAATCGTTCGTCATAGTCTGAACTCTCGCTTGGATTACGCGAGAACATCGTCCAGTACTATAAATAAGAGACGTACACTCGGATTTACGACTGAAACGAGTTTTTTGACGATGTTGAAACGATATCGCTATGCGCGAAACAATGATGGTTCTCTCCAAGGATCGCGTTACCCTTTTCTATTTCATTGTTGCTTAAAAGACTTCCGTGAATTTTCAGAGGCGTTCAAGGGGTCACGAAGTCGCCATTAGAGACGATAGCTTCCGACATCGAATTCGTCAAGGTTTCGACGCGTCGTTTGCGATCTTCAGCAGGTTCCGGTCAAGCTTACGTGGTAAGTTTGTTTGTTCCCGGACGGATCCGAGGGTACCGGTGACTGATCACCTACGAAACCGAGAAGGGTTTTCGCGGCAAATCCTCGAGGACAGGGGTCGCGGTTGTGGCTTACGATGGCATCGTGGTCAAATACCACCCTTATAGCTTGACGACAGGCTTCTCGTTAAGTACGAAGTAAACCCTTATCGTTGCAAAGATGATAGCAAATAGACCAGACACTTTCAAAGAACGTATCGTACACTCTCCATGAAGTTACTTACAACGTTCAGGCTCAAAGAAATTAATTTTTCAAAGCTAGCTTGTGTTATAGTGTTAGCAGTTCGATAGTATTAATTGCCAGATAGACGAGCAAAAGTAACAATTAACGACTCCTAAAACCATGATGCCATCTAACACTAGCATCTCATTGTCGACGTTCCTTTTGTTTCGCCACAGCACCGCATCTTGTTAACATCTGTATTCGCGTTCGTCTCGTTTCTCAACACGTTAGATGCTCTCTGATCGATCCTAAGCAGGTATATTCGTACATCAAAGAATCGCGGCGAATTCTCGAGGCGAACATCGCCGATGAAAGCACGCGCCATTCCCAAAGAGACTTGTCGTTGGTTGGAACGCGGTGTACGAACGGTACGAAACACGTGTCTGTGTCG